CAGACAAATTAAAGCAGCCCATTTCTGGGATCTGTTCACATCCCATATGTTCTTTTAACCGTAGATAGTCTATAGTCATAAGATTTTGGAGTGCTACACCTTGCACCCCTCCCAACTCCTGGTTGAGTTCCAACAGTACAGATCTGGTCAAATTCGTTGTCTCACTGTATGCACATGCCAGCCTAGACATCTCCCTCCTCATTCCAATGGCAAGTCCAGGAAACGGTGGGGTGGATGCAGCCACAACCGCAGCATCGCCCAGATCCCTGTGGAGGCTTTTTGTTGATCATCCCCCTGGCACAAGTCCTCCAGAGAGTGCTGATGCCGGAAGCTCCTCCTCCTATCGTATCTTAGTTCATTTTCTGGGTTAGGCTGCTTGCTTTTTTAAAAAATAGGGATTTGGCATTCAGTTTCCTACCAAATTCCTAATCTCTTTATTTTTGAATTGTAAGAAACAATGTGAAGTTAATTTGCAATGGGAAACACCTAGCAAAGTGAAAATTAAAATTTTTAATTTGAAAGATGGGATAGATTGAGACTTTAACATTTGGACCTTATATTTCTGCTTAATCTAAAAAATGGAGGACACATTTTTTCCCCCCTCACAGCACACCAGTCCTTTCCTTGAGAATGTCATACATTCATTTTTTTTCCTTTTGACATGAAAGCTTTTGTTTTTAATTTGTTTGATGCATGTTCATTCATTCATCTTTTAAGGTACATGTGCTTTAATTAATAAGTGCAATTAATGTCCAACAAAACAGAATGGATGAGAGTATTCTGTAATATATTATGCAGATATATTTTTCTGCTGACCTTTTTACCTGGTAAAAGATTTGACTCACAGGGGCCTTGCTAGGACTCTCCAGGCTTCCACTGCCCCACCCACACAGATGGCAGGGCCGTGCACAGCCAAGGAAGGGCTCTTATTTTTCCAGGCTTCAGCTCCCATTACTGTGAAAACAAAAAAAGAAGCCATGATGGAAAATTGCACACAATGTCACTGATACCTTGGCTATAGAACATCATTTTAACAGCTAAAAGATAAGGCGATAAATTTTGAAGAGAATACTCATTGTTTCTAGAGGTACTAACACAGGATCTTGGAAAGGGTCATAAAGGTTCAGGACAAGTGAAATATTTTCTGAGAAAAAAGTTTCTTTAACAAAATTGTTAATTCAGGTCAGGTGTTCGCAAAAATGTCAAGCTGAGTTGGATTCTATCCAACCAATCCACGAGAATATAAGACAAGCACAGGTGGGAAGTGAATGCAGCTTTGGGCATAAGATGGGTGGTGGTTGTTGTGAACTCACAGAGATTGTTTCTAGAAGCTTGAAATCAGTCATTTTTCTGCATAAGTGCCACAGAAGCTTTGGCTGTTAACTCTCCCTTCTTTTTTGCTCAGTGACTCACATACTCTCTGTTCTTCAGTTTTGACCCATTAGTTATAACTCTGAGAGAAGGGAAGAGAAAGAAAAAAAATTAATACATTCAAATACACCCAGAGGCAATTATTTTTAATGGGAAGGACTGGAGGAAAATAATCTAGTTTAAGTGGGTATAGGCAAGCTACAGGCAGATAACAGCTTACTGCTTGTAGCCTTTCAGTCACTTAAACACAACAAAGGCCGTGTGGTCTTCATTACCACTTTTCAACAGGTATCAGGTAGGAAGGGGAGAAATGGAACAAAAATATGTTGAACGTGAATCACCACGCTAAGTGCTCGAATGCATTATCACATGACAATCCTGTGAGGGAAGCAGCAATGTAACGTGCCAAGATTGTACATTTAGAAGTGGCACTGTCTGGATGTTTCGTAGTGGTGAGCTGACTCCAAAGGGTGCTGTCTTCGTTCTATAGCTTCCCGACCTTCCCATGTTTGGGTATACATACAGTCTAGTTCATTTATTTTTTCAGTCTCTGTGAGCCTTGGAGTTTCACAAGCAATTGCCTCCTTTGTCTAGGGTGCATTCCATGCGACAGTCGAGGAGTAACTGACATTGTGAAGTGCCAGGAAGACTGACAACCCTCCTCTCTTTTGAGAAAAACATATTGAAGCTGTTCCTTAAAAAGAAAAAGAAAAAGAAAAAAAAAGTCATGCTTTGTCTTAAAATCCTAAACCTTTGTCCTATAATCAGTTTGGGCCAGGGATCCTTGCCTGAGCCAAAGGTCACCCACAGGCTGGGTCAGTTGCCTTTGAAGCGGCCTGACAACCCCTTTCTCCGGTAGGGGTGCACCGCACTGAATGTTGCTCACTGACTCCCCAGAACTTTTGCTGCTCTCAGACTGGGTAGAACAAACAGCGGGAGCACTGGCCAGAGCGAGCACGCAGCCAAGGCAGGAACGAGACAAGCTTGCTGACGGGAAGACTGCCTTTGAAAGGAGGAGCTGCTAGAACTGGTTTTGGACCAATTGAGATCCCTCTTTAGGTGGTAGAGAGGCTAAAGGAACTAAATAAATGTTATATTCAACAAAGAACACAATATTACACAAATTATACAACATTACAGCACAAACCTAATGGCCACTGAGATCTCTTCCCATTAGAGTTAAGAGTCATTCCACAAGCCTTGAAAAATCTCCCGGCCTCTTTTTAAAAATTTTAACTGTGATTTATTCCTATTCACTGACCTGTTTCTCTCCTTCTCCCTCTCAATTTTCTCTCCCTCTCAATCGTGCTTAATGTGTACTCTTTACATGTGTTCCAGCAAAACTAGTAGTATTGTTTTGTATGCATGTGTTTTTAATTTGTGTAAATGCTCTCCATATCTCATCCTGTTGCTTCATCTCTTAGCACAGTATTTTAAAGTCCCGTTCCTGTCTCACCCTACAGTTTCTAACTGCTGCCTGCTACTCCATGGCATTCATTCTCCACATTTTCTCTGTCCATTTCCTTGGGAATGGGCACCCAGATGGCCTCCAACTTCAAGTGTCCCCAAATAATGCTACAGGGAATATCCTTGTATGTGCTCCCTATGGACCCGTGAACAGTTTTTAATACACACCACACCCATGACTAGAATTGCCAGGTAAGAAAGTCTCTACCCATGTAACCGAAGCACGATCTCCAGGATGCCAAACCAGCCCATATCCCCATCGCTGCCCGTGAGGTTTCCCCTGTACCCGTATCTCCACCAACACATGGCACAACCTCATTTTTCAGTGAAATATACTCTCTAGGGAGGGATAATGCATTAAACAGATTTTTTTAACCAGAAAAAAGGACATTTACACTCATTTTTCAATACTTCCTGTAGATATATTTGTGTTGATATTACATCTCCTCTCATAGATGGTACATTCATTGAAAGTAGGGAGTGGGCCTGATAATTTGTTGCTGACTAGTATTTTGCATATAGAAGTATGAATGAACACAGAAGGAGTTCTGGGAAACCTGCTTCTTAGCACTGATGATATCATTACTTTTCCCCTGTTTGCAGTTGGTACCCTTGAAGTCTGATTTTGGTTTCTTCTCCCTGTAATGTTGAGTTTATTTAAAGTTTCCAGGTTTCCTCTAACTCCCTCTGAAGCAAGCAGAAATGCCAACCCTAGGAATCCATTCCTTGGTGTGAACAGTAGCTTTCAAACATTTTTTAACATAACCCACAGTATGGAATGTATTTTGCATTAGGACATAGTAACACATCCATGTATGTGATTGTGCATACTTATGTACATTTATACTTGCATAAAACAGTGTTTACCATTGTTTTTGTGATGCAATCTTTTCCAGTCTTTTTTATTAGTTTCCATTAAAAAATGCACCCAAATGAGATACCACTACAAACCTATTATAGGGGTTAAACTTAAAAAAAAAAACAATGAACATCTGATGTAATAACAAGTGCTGGATAGAATGTGAAGCTACTAGAACTCCCAAACATTGCTGGGTGGGGAGTACAAAATGGTACAGTATGACCCAGAAATCCCACTCCTAGATATTTATCCTAGAGAAGTGAAAATTCATTCACATAACAGTTTTATATGAATATTTATTGTAGCTCTATTCATAATCACCCAAAACTGGAAACTACCTATGTGTCCTGCAACAGGTGATTGGCTAAACAAACTGTGGTACATCCATAAAATGGAATGACACTCAGCAATAATAAGGAAGAATTATTGATCCATGCAACAACCTGGATTAGTCTCAAGGAATAATGTTGAGGAAAAGAAGCCAGCCTCAAAAGGCTGTATGAATCCAGTTGTATGATGGTCTCAAAAAGACAAAATAAAAATGTTGGAGAGCAAATCACTGGTTGCCAAGGGCTAGGGATGGAGGGAGGGTGTGACTGCAAAGCATGATGTGTTTTTTGGATTTTCTGATTGTGGCATGCATGTGTTTAAATTCATAAAACTGTATATTAAAATAGATTGAAAAATATTCTTAAAGGAGAGTTGGTACAAATGAGCTTAAATGCAGTTGCTGGCAGACAGAGAAACACTGACAAAGAAGGTAAAGCCCAGATGTGTGAACCAGTCCTTGCAGGCTGAGGGAAAAGGGTGGCACCAGGTTCTAGCAGAACAGGAAGGTAGAACATCAGCCCTTGGGATGAACAACAGCAGCTACAGTTGTGGGCTGGAACCTGCCAATCAGGCCAATTGTAACTCAATGGTCTTAGTGTTAATTGAGCAACTACAAGGTGGCACAGGGGACATTAACAATGAACAAAACACCCAGGCCCTGAGCTCCTAGTGCTGATTTTCATCTGGGATGGGTATGGGGACAGAAAATAAAGCAGTAACATCTCAGTTAATTTTAAGTGCTGTGGTGTGTAAAGACAATAAAACAGAGTTGGGGTATTTGTGAGTGTGTTGGGGACTCTTTCTGAAGGAGGTGACACAAAGGAGTAGATTAAGGACAGGCATCCTCTTCCTCTTTCCCATGTCAACAAAATACCAGTCCTGAATTATCAAGCAATAAATTATCTAAAAATAAATTAAAAATTATCTTTTAAAAAAAGTTTGTTGCAAGTCATTAAATTGATTCTATGGGCACTCATGAGTCACAGCCCACAGTCTGAAATAAAATAACCTCAGTACCCTCAATGGCAGATGTAGACACAGCCCCTTAACCAGCTGTGGCTTTCGGTTTTGCCAAATAGCATTGGTATGGGCCAGACCATTTCCTGCCTTTGACTCCCAAGCTCCTTCCTGATCATGTTCCCTTGGGAGCAATGAAATAATTCCTGAAGAATTACCAGAGGGCAGGCTCTCTGCGTACCTAAGTATGTTGGAGCTAACATACTTGACAATGATGGTTCGAAAATAGAGATTAAAATGGGCTGTCAATTCTTTAATTTCAAATTGATCCTATGAAGCATTTACTGGGTCTTTTCCTGGACTATTTCATAGCCTCTTCCTCTGGCCCTTGAATGAAATCTTTATTCTATCTGATTGAAAAGGATTTCTACCCTACTCTCAGTGGGGCTGCTGTTCCCAGGGTCTCACATCCCTGGTGTATACTTACTGCACCAGTGATGCTTCCCTTGCTGGGTCTCACTTTAGTATTTACTGCACAGCTCTTGCTATCATCTAGGCCTTAGGACACCAGGATTCGGGTCACACTGGCTCTGAGAATGCCACACAGTTCCATCCCAACACTTAGTGGAAGTTGCTAGCCAATCCTTGGGTCTGGCAGGCCCTTGTGCCTCCTCTGTTGACATTTCCCTGCTGCCCTCCTTCAGCCAACCAGAAGGGCACCTCAGCTCTCCTCCTGCACTTCCTGGCAGTCGTCATCTTTATTTAAGACTCTGCTTCTGCAATTTCCACAGCCCCCAAGCAAATCCAGTTGGTGCTCTGCTTTCCTAATACTTGGCATTGACATTGAGGGAAAAGTGAGGTAACAGGCTAGACAAAGAGGTGGGGGAATAAAGTTGATTTTTTTACTGTTGTGTTTTCCAGAAACTTATTGCACTAAAAAGCAGAGCCAACCTGCCTGCCACTTAGTTTTGATTTATAACTTCAAATGATGGTTCTAGAAATATCTGTCAAGGGCTTATTAACAAAGACCAATAAAAACTGTCCTTCTTACTCAGTGCCCCAGCTGGCTCATTTTCTTTGTGTGAGGGAATTCAGTTCATGATCTAGAGCTGCCATGTGGCTCTGTAGGGTTCGGCATATTTCTCACTTTCTTTGCCCACCCTCACCTCCCTCTGGTCCGGGCTCAGATGTCACCTTCTAATGGACCAACCCTATCTTACCACTCTGTTTAATACTTAACCTGTCCCTGCAAGGCACTCTGCACTTGCTTTACCTTGTTTTACTCTTTCTTTTTTGTAGCATGTATCTCCTGTTATTATAATACAAATTTAACCTTTTAATCTTGTTTGTGGTTTATTGTCTGTCTCTACTGAACCCTGCTCCCCAGATTGTAAATGCCACAGGGTAGGCCTCTTTATGTTGCTTGAATGGTAGAGGATCCTATCATCCTGCTGGATTTTCTACACAATATCGGTGTGGTCTGATCACCACCTAAATCAACAATCCACTCACAGAAAGAAATTAGTCATTTATTGTCTTATAGACCTGTGTTATTCAATAAGGTAACCATTAATCACATGTGGCCATTTAAATTTCAGTAATTTAGATTAAATAAAATTGAAAGTTCAGTTCCTGAGTAACAGTGGCCATAATTCTGGTGCTCAGTAGCCACATGCGGCTAGTGGCTGCTGTTGTGGACTGCACAGATAAAGAACACTTCCATCGTAGCAGAAAGTTCTATTGGACAGTGGGGCTATGGATGAACCAGTCTGTCAAGTTAATGGATTTTTTCATTTATCCCATTGGTAACTGTCTGTTTAGTGTCTACTTTGAGTAAGACACCCTAAGAAATAGGGGCTGCTCAAGGAGGATTCAGAGATCTTGCCTCTTCCAACAAGTGGGTCTGAAGGTAAATATAAAATGAAGATAGTATCCCCAGCCTTGAGGTAGATACAGATAAAGTGTTGCAGGAATTCAAAGGAAGGAGAGATTTGTATTTCCCAGTTCTGGGTAGGAAATCAATGAAGGCTTCTTGGAGGAGGTAGGTTTGAAACAGAAAACTTCCCAGCACCTCCCTGTAG